CGGGTATCTTTCTTCGTCCGCAGTTACGGGTCCCCTGTTTTCTCCAAAATGACTTACCAGGGAGGGTGATAGGTGGAGAGCGCTAATTGCTGTTTTTGCAAAAAAAGCTGTGTAAATACGGGTGGTTTTCCAAATTTGTAAATCGAACTGAAGCGGTCTGATGGAGAAAAGATATGCCGAATCACCATCCGTTGAGGTGGTCATTGATTAGATTTTCTGAAGCTTCTGGTTGTGTTTATTAATAGTGAACTCCGGAATGTTTCCCTGACTTTAAGCTAAAGGACCACAGAAAATGACCACCGATTCACTGGTAGAGTGAATGCTCGAATTGCGGAGGCTCTCGTGTTACCCAGAGGGGCTTACTTTCCACTAGGCTTTGGTCACAGTTACCGTATCCATCTACGGTGAGCTGGTTAAGCAGTTTGGAGTTTTGAAGCTCCTGGTGATCGTTAGTGGATCTCAGTTTTTGTTTCCTGGTCTTGATCCATTTTTTTCACCTCTCAAAGGAATTAACATATCCAAAATCTAAATTCAAACTAGATGGGTCTACAAACGAGGCTTTTGGAAGCTGGGCGTGAGCGAGAAGGTAAAATACGCGCAAACACTTTTGAGCACAAATCGAGAGGCACATGATAAATGGATTCAAAAACTATATGCCACACGATAAATAACCAAACTGCCTAAAACATTCTTCCTGGGTAAATAGACGTTTTAATGGCCGCTGGCTGCACATGCAACCCTCCCCGTGATGTACCTCTTCGCTAGACTTCAACGGGCATGGATTCACCATCAATAGACCCGGGCCTTCGTGGACTGAATCGTTAACACTACGGTAGTTACGTTATTCACAGGGACAGCAGATGCAATCCCCATATCCGATGCTTGTTTAGATACAGTTATAACGTGGATCCAAAAACATATCCAAAAACTTATCCAAAAACGTAAGAACTGTGCGTCAATTTAGATCATGTTTCAGAGCATATAACCCATTTAAACAAGGTCACATATTTTGACCTCCATCGGCTTACCAGAATAGGGCTCGATTCTTTGACTCTGTCCGAATCCTTCTCGACGAACGATTGTAACTCACTAACGAATGCGTTTACTTTTGACTGCAACAGTCGTGAATATTCTCGCTCTGAATTTAACGCTTCGAAAAACTTGATCTCACTGCTTTCTGTCTTGTGCTTTCGCCGTTGATGGTGGTGTGTCTTCCTATCCTGCGTAGTAGTTGATGTTTCTTCCATTCTCGGACTGACAATATTCACCTCTACATCTTCATTTGTGGATTTCTGTCTGAATGATGCATTTCTGGGTTTTGTCGTGCCACCGACTAGCCCAGGTTTTGACGGACGTTTGATGCTCTCTCCTTTGGTGGCGTTTGCCCGGGATCTGGATCGTCTTGCGTGCGTGGGATTTTTGCCAGCTTGTTCGCTTCCGAACTTGAATGCATGACTGAGTCTCAAGATTCGTGACTGTTCATCAGCTAGTCGTTTCAGTTGGATGAGATGGGTGTTGAGTTTGGTTCTAGAGAGCTCAGGAAACGAGGCCAGCCTATATTCCAATTTCATTATTGCCTCCTTGCACAGACTTAACTGCATTGTCCGTATAACTTTCGGAACACTGACGATACGTCTTCCAGTGGCTCCCAAGAAGTATCTCTGGGCGTTGCGCTTAGTCATGAACAAAAGCTGACTTTCTGTAGTAGCCCGAGCAGTGAATAGGTAAGGGCAACATCCCAGTAAAATCTCCATGTCACCGAGGCATGTCGTACCTAAAATATGAGATGAAGTTTTTACTTTGCTGGTATTCGGTGCGTAGGGCAGACGTTATGATCACGGTGCACTCGGAAATGCAAAAGAAAAACCATGCTACTGGCATGCTTAATAGTAGCTGAAATTATATCATGCATGGACGAAACCGAGTTACTGTGGATCGGTATAAACTGCACTGAAGGAATGCTGTGTGTTGAGGAAGGAATAACAGAGTTATGTCGTCCTAAGGCAAATATTTCTATAGGAAGAATAAAGCGTTGGTCCGGACATTAAGACAATTTTTTTAGGAAATCGTGTTGACTGCTTAGAATAGGCCGGTGGGGCGCATGCGACATGTACACAGAAACAACTTTTCTGGGCAGTCTTAACTTCTCAAACGAAACTGAGGACAAAGGCAGCTCTATTATTCATATTTTTACCTTTTATTTCGTAGCTTATGTTGTTGAACTCATAATATCAGTGAGGATATTTATTAACAAGGCCTGGAGAAAGGAATTCAGCAGTAACACCTAATGATTTGGTAAGACAGACTTCTCAGTGACAGGTTGAATATCTAACTAAAATCACTTAAAAGATCAACTTCTGAAGTAGCCAAAGTGCATGAGTACAAGGACTGCCCAATCGCCTTATGAGTTCGAATGTCTCCTTACCGGAGCGCGCCGACATGGAGCATGTGAATGACCATTGGTTTTGAGGTCATACCAACAGCACTGTTTTGAAAATCAAGCCGGCGTTCGCAAGGCGATCGCTCCAGTGGAAATTAAAACTACAGAATTCACAAAAGCTCGTTCCACCTGTTCCAGTGGGGAATGAGTTGGCTGAATGTATGACCGGCGGACACTATTCATGGTTACTCAAAAATGCACAGAGGTTGTTTAAAGTTTTATGAAAAACGTAAATTTGAAGTGGCTGAAAGCAGAGCCAAACATCTAACTTTACCTCATCGAAAATCCATGATCAAACATAAAAGTGGGATAAAGTGTGCAGCTCGTACTATTTCCGAAAATAGGGACTAGCAAAAAAATCGTTCAGCTTTAGCTCCCTTTCCGTGTCAAACTGCCATGCCACCCGAAGAAAGCACGATGGTTGAAATACTGCTGGATTGATCAACCATACACAGGGGAAGTCGAGAAGAAGAGGTCGCGTTCGAACCACGAACCTTCCGGTCAGTAAATTTGAGCTCCAACCACTGAGCTCTAATCAGCTAACTTAGCTCTAATCACAGCTAGCAGTTAAGTGTGTGCTTCAAATTTTCGGCTGCACAGATACGTTGGTGGAATATCTGTGTTTCCAGATCCTGGTTAGGACGCATCCTGGTGAAAAACATGGGCAAGTTTTACTTCAGGACAAAATAGGAACCTTTCAAATTCCGCATGATCTAGGTGGAAATTTCAAGCGGTGAAGGAAAAACAGGAATTTCGTTTTTTATGAAGGCCTATATAATCATCAACTGTCATTTAAAAAATTAATTTGAGTCTTCACATATATGAAAGCATAATGAAGCTTTGACAGGTGGATTTTGTAAATGTAGAGCTGAATAACTGGGCTGTTCTTTTTACGTTGCTCCATCTTGATATAAGTAGCGATATGAACGACTTCGATGCGCATTACAACCAACGAATAAACTAGAACTAACCGTAGTTGGCGGAGAGAATTGGATTTTTGTCACGCACGTAAAACTTCACCTCTTGAGTTCCCTTTGAGTATGGAGTGCGCTTGAATCCTTGATTCTCGGGGGAGGATTTCTCGATAGGAACGGAAACACAAACTTCGCCGCTTCAAATGGAAGAGAGGTGAACGTGAAAATAAATTTATGTGATAACCAGTCACGTTTTCACTACTGAACAGCCTAATTGATTGAAAGATCTGTTCTCTTCACCGGTCGGTCTTCCAGTACGCCTACTGACAAGGACTGGTGAGCTACCAACGAAAGGTTTGCAAGACGAATTTCAAGATGGACTAACAGATCACCGTCCAGTGCCCGATATATCAAGGACAGAACATTCATCAGTAACCACCAGATTGAGTCAGTCAGCGTGGTGTTTAATTGATCTTTTTATGATGGTTACCATTATCCACGCGTTGTGTAAGTTTCGAAAGTAAGGTGCTCTTGGGTGCTCTTGGTGCTCTTGACCTGCACGCTGACCTATCTGTCTATTCATTTTATTGATTGTTTCTTCCATTCTTTGTGAGTTGTTTTACTCACAAGTCAGTGGTAACTATGTCCAACCGTTAGCAATAAATTCTACAAAGTGAAATACCTATGAAACAGACCACAAACTGGAAGAGGTTTTTTATCAGTACTTTGAAAATTATCAAAACACACCTTAGCCCTGTATAAGCGATAACTTCCCCTTAATGAACCACTCTTGGTAGGATGTATTTATTTGTCTTATTGAGGGACATAGCAACCTCCATGTGCGTAGCTTCCGTACCACAAAGCACAGAGGATACTCTAAGACTCCCAAAGCTCAGGCACGGGCGACTGAGATACCAAAGCTAGGGTTGAAACATGGACCTATTTGTCAGTAAGTTCGCCCCCTAAACCCCCGAGTTCAGTGGATGATATATCCCCTGTGTTGTGGAACATAGTCTCCTCATTACCGTGAACCCCGGTCTGGATAGCCGCTTGATAGCCTGGTGCGCTTGGCCAAACCCGAAAATGTCAATGAACGTGCGAACCGGCTGATCTATTGTTCTTTGTCGCATACAAGCGGGTCGAAAAAGGGACACTAAGAATACAACTCATCTGTCAAGGGCGATTGAAGAACAACCAATGAAATCTGTCTCAATGAAAACGGTCACCCATTGTCTGTTATGTAGTTCCGTTACGTTCGGAGCTGGTTCTCTGGTGAAGGTTATTTTCCAGTGGCACCAATTCCCGTAGCCAACAAAGTAAGTTTGAATGCGAGATAGATTTATCAGGGGAAAACTTGAATAGTTGTACGTATCCCCTGCATGTTGCGGTTCTAATTAGAAGATTCGTGATTACCAATAAATTTTATTTCTTGCTCCTGGGTGCCTTTCATCAGCTACGTAGCAGAAGATAGTCTAACAAAGACCGTAGGTAAGCGTGCACATTCATGAGTTACTCCTGTGTGTTAGTTTGAGATGCCGGTAAAAGAACGGTGCCTTTCTCATTATCATACAACTGATAATCTAGTAATCTAATTCAACATATCCACAAGTTTACCTGCGAAAGAAAGGTGACGACCTCACTCACCTAAAAATGTAGTAGAAACCACGATATTCCGAACCCGCGCGAAAAATTTCGCATCCATATTCGAAAGTTTGAATCTCCAACGAGAGAATGATTTGTTCCTTTAAACGTGAATTGAGGCGCCGAAAATAAGGAACTTGATTCACAAAGTCGGTTCGCATACGGAACTGAGCCTCCAAGATGGAACGAACCGTTTTATCGTAGAGTGCTCGAGGAATGACAACTAGTTGGACAGCTAATTCCTGTGCTGAGGGACTGACTTGGTCCGTCTTTTCTTTATCGTCCTTTTTTCGTTCTTTCGGTATTTCTGTCGACAATTTTGCATCTTGATCCCTGGAAATTGGATTAGCTACAATACTGGCGATACGGCGGCACTCTTCAATGAGCGCAACTTCACCGAATATAGCTCCGGATTCTGAAAAACAGAGCAAGGGTTGTCCCCAGTTTTTGAAGTGACATACTAAAGACGGGATTTCGCAAGTCTCTTGGAAATACTAACAGAGGTCTCTTCCTGAAGGAGCAATCAAGCTGTGTTTAAAAATCGTGAGATACTGCTATCGCTACTGTGCACTCCACGAAACTCTGGAAAGTTCCAAAACCGAAGCCATCTGATTAGTTGCAGGATACTGTGCCTTCCAACGAAGGATCCATTTAACCTGCACAAATAACCGATTCATGTCATCCAATCAGGTGTTGTCTGGCTCATTAAATGAGAGTTTCCTTTTGAAGAACCGTGCGAGGTGTTGGCTTCTTCTACAACGGATAACTATCCAAAGGCTAAATTCCCTTCAGAAAAACTGCTTCCATCGCGACTTGCTCCTTGACCATTACCCGTTGGTAACTTTTCTCCAAAAATTCCCTACGGCAAGCTTTCACAATCTTCTACAATTATGAGTGGAACAAATTCTTAGTAGTTCTGCTACATCGATCAATCTGCAGCATTTTTTTTTGCTTGACGAGAACGCTTTGAATCAGTCCCAGTCAAGGTATAGTGCTGTCCTACTGTTCATTTGGCCAGGATTGTTTGATCAAATAGATCGATAGATCGATAACTTGATAAGTTATAAAGGGAGGGCCAAAGTGGTCTTAACCGAAGGAGTTTGTGAACTCCATCTGAAAACTAACTGAATTGTGTTCGTGCTACCAGCCGCTAAGGCCAACTGGGGCTAATTGCGATACTGTTTGGTCGATCATCCGCGTAACGTGAGAGCTCAGATTCCTAACATTGAATTCGCTTTGCACACAGTTAACAGATAAACATTACTATATTCGGTAGGGCGGAAAATGCTTTAGGGTTATTTTGATACCAAAAACATCACACAGAATCTGTTTGGAGGTGTACAGCTGATATAAACATGCAAACAAATATCCTACTAAAACATAACCTTTAGGATTTTATCGTTTTAGTGAACTTAATCCATACTGATTAACTCTGGATTTCAATGGATCCTTTTCTACCCTTTGCAAGACTTCATAAACGTGTAGTGACAAGCAAAACTAACGATTCCAGAAATGAATGGAACCGTTTAGTGAATATTCACGGAATCGGATCTCTTTGCTCATCTCTTTTGCTTACTTAAGACAAACACATTTAGGAGAGTGCTGAGTAAATGTCCGTAGGTAGTATGTTCAGCTGGTAAGTGTCTGAAGACAGCGGAGGGGTTATGCTCTCAGGTAAGAAGTCAAAAACATGGGGGGATAGCAGATCCCAGAAAACTTTTGTGTAAAGCTCTCACGGAAACGAGCTTAGTACGAGAAAGATAATAAAGAACAAAATCAGAATACATCCATTTGCACACCAGTTTGGTTTTGACGGAAGACTCACCTGGAACCCCGCTGAATCGCTCGTTTATGATGTTCAGTTGATTGAGAACATGATGAGAGATAGATTCAGCTAGATTTCACCTGAGCCTCACGTCAAAGCCAGATGGAAGTATAAATAAAAAATTTTTTGGGTTCAAGTAGGACATGATATTGACGGAAACTCGGGGACTGGGCCAGTATGATGATTGGCTCCAACAAGTGCGAAACCAATCGCATGCCCTCAAAGTTTTCTTTTACAAAATTCATCAGCAGTGTATCACGTCTAGATGCAGAACTTGTTTGGTTTTAAAAAACAACCTCCCATGCATTTGGTTTTGATTTAGACACACCAGGCAGATCTGACCCGGTGCTTTGTTTAACAGTTTTCACAGTTGACATCTGCATTATATGGCCAGGAATCACACTTTCTCTTACTGTAATTATCTACCCAAAGGAACACTTTGGCCAACCCATGTGATGAATTTCCTTGGAAATCTCACCACAAAAAGAGATGGTCGTATGGCGTTCGGGTAATCAGTAACGATCAGCTGTCAATACTCCCGCCAAATTGGTCTAATTCAGGATGAAACGCGTCGTAAGTTGCTTTTCAAGAGGAACCACAGTCGACGTTTACAAGAGCTGTCTTTAAAATTACCAAGCCTTTTATGTCCACTGCGAAAAGCTTCCTAAAAACTTTCAAACAACCACGATTTTGTAGTCCTCCTGATCATTTCAGCCCAAAAAAGAGAACATCCTCAGTTAGGACTATTCCTTAATAATCCCGTAAGATGTGGCCTAGAGTCAGTGGAATTTAAGACCACATTTAAATCACATTTAAATCACCCCGAAAGGCGATTTCCACTCTCAAAAAAAACAACAGGATTCTAGCTCTGTGTTCTCATCATAACCAATCGTAACAAGTTGTGTGCATATTTTTAAGCTACATGAGCTTTAAAGATTGTTTAGCCTCTTTAAAGCTGACCCTTCAGAGAGTATTTCCTTGGGAGAAACATAGCAGTCCTACTAATCATCCATCATTAACTGGTCGTAGTAGGATGACGCCAAGCAGAGCCCACGACAGGTTACAAGGCAACACGATCGGTCGAAACCATGAGAATGCTTTTTACGGCCTTTTGACCAGTCATCTCAGTACTTCATAGTTTACAAGTACAAATTAGGTTCATACAGTCAGCAAGCCTCATATGCTATTGCCACTGATGCAGTTAAACAACAGTCGCCTGACACGAGCCAATGAGGAACCCATCAGATGACGAACCAATCACGATCAAGCGAATTCGAGCAGTCACTAGGGGATTCCGAAGGGAATCCAGGAAGATTACCACACACTAATGAAAGAACAATGGTTAAAGATAATAAAATGAGAGTTTCAAGAAGCGAGCTGAACACATTTCTCGATCGAAATCGGGGGTTACGAGAATCGATGAATCAAATTCCACTTTCTCATGCCGACAGAACGCTGCATTCTGTCATGTCTGACTTCACATCAACCTACGGGCTTGTACAGGCAAATGCCTTGAAGTGAGAACTAACATCACACAGCACATAAGATGCCGTCAACATACCACGAGTTTTTGTTATTTTATTGCTGACTGCTTCATGCCATACCGTGTGTCTTACCAGAACCCACCTCAAGCAAGCAGACTAGCCTTAACCAGGGGAGGCTTGGTTGTATGTAGCAAATGAGTGTGTTAGAATAACAACACGAGTCTGTTAGAATTCAATAGCTGAATTACATGCCATTTAAAGCTACACCCAACTTCTCCAATAGAGTAAACGAAAATGCCCGAGAACAGTGTTTTGCATGACAGTAAACTGATGCCCATCTTGTATGCATGATCCTGTAAGTCAGCATTTCAGTGAACCAAACTAGAGGCCAGTTTATTACAGGTGTCCACAAAATTAAACATACAGTAGCCTTGATAGATTTTAGTCTGCAAATTTGGGGCTACCTCACTCCAAAAACCTTTAAACTCAACCCTTCAACTGTTAACTTTAGGGAGCCTGTCTGCCTATTCTCCAAAAACGTTCACTCCTACTGCATCTTGGCACGGAGTACTACCCCAAAAAAGAGCGATAAGCAAACTTCGTGCATTAGGCTGTTGTGAACATTTCCATCAACTGAATACCTGCTCCATTGTTAGCTCAGGGGGGTTACGGAATTTCTGATTTGATTCGACTTTCCCGCGCGCGGTATACAGTTATTTTCCCATGGAGCTGGTATTTGTTCGTAAACAAAAGACATTTTGGCCGAACATTAGTGTTCATCTTTGTTCACGAGTACTGTTTTACATAAAACATTACTGATATAACGTGTGTGTGCACCAGTCACTGATCGACATTTGGTTTAGACCAGACCAACATTATTCAGTAGATTAGTTTGTGCAAAATCATTCGTACGTCCATTGCGAGCGCCACGAGCTGCTTGTACGGCAAGTTTTTTATTGGGCAAGAACATAATCTAGTGTTCAGGTATAAATTGACTTGAGGGAATTAGCGAAATACACTTATTTGCAACCTAGTTTGGTTTTTTGAGGTACTCATCGGGAACCCGGCAACCTTAGGAGTTGTGCATTACAAATATACACGTATCGCGATATCTCGAATATCGTAGCGACTGAAACATGAGGCGACCTGGTGCAGCACATTCAGTTGCCTGGAAATATCACAAACCAAAGATTCAGCTGGGTTTCAGGCGAGTCTCTCGAAAAACCAAATTAGTTTGCAAATGACTGTATATTCGCTAATTTCGTGCAATTCGGTTTCAAGTAGAACATAAGTTGACAGAAACCCCGGGGACGGCGCCTACCTGATGAGCCCAAGAAGGGCGAAATCGGTCGTGGGCTGTTGACGAATTTTCAGCAACCTTATGAGTAGTGCATTACAAACTTGAGGGAAATTCTGCAACTGGATGCAGGCGATTTGTCCCAAATACAACAAAACTGGCATAGAAACGTCTCCTCTTCCTAATTCATCGTTTTGTTGGTATAACTACTCGGGCGCTTGTAAACTACTCGGTTGCGATCTGAACTGCAGTAGCCTAAGGTATCGATAAAAGCCACCTTGTTTCTGACGTGTGATCACTATTTATCTGGTTGGTTCGGAGGAATGGGGTTAATGCTAAAACGAACAAGGAGCAATCAGCTGTAAGTCAACTTTGTCAAGTTACACAATACAGTACAAATGTCAATGATGAATGTCTCAAACTATCAGTCAGGTTGTTGTTTGATCTTATTGCATTTTCACCAAAAGAAGGTTGCAGAAACTGTTGGAAACTTGTATATTTAAATTGAGCAGGTTTTTGAAACTACTGGCAGCTTTTAAAGTATTGAAAAGAAATGATCACAGAACTTAACGGTTCGGCTGAGGGGATCAACCTCTGGCAGGCTGACCCTTGTTTATGGTAAGCTGTGTCGTTGGCGTTTGTTCTGGTACCATAGAACTTTGTGATAAAAAAGCCGGAACAACTTAACCCGAGAAATAATATTTGTCCGCCGCATTCATTCTTACTAAGTGTGGAACAGTGACAGGCTACTTTGAGGAATTAAGTCAAGGGTCGACCCACGGTTCGGAAAATGCCGATACACAACTCTCCTATGCCGAGTAGAACATATCGGCGGGAAATCATTCCGTCTTAAAACTTACGCAAGAGCCCCACACATCGTCCTAAAACTGTAGTGTCTTTCACGATGCTACCTCTCTGCCCAATGGTGATTACCGGCGCGGAAGCATCTCCCTTCTCCGACGTCTCAGCCGCAGACGTGGCTCCTCCCAGACGGTCGTCCACATCTTCCTCCAGGTCGCCTAGTTGATAGACAGACGCGGATCCAGACAGAAGGATGTACATACTGAAACCAAGTGGAGAAAAAAGTAACTGCTCCTCTTCCGTGGGTTGCAATATCTGTGCATTTAGTAACTCCCTCGTCAGAATGAGAACAAGAGAGAAATAAACACTTTCGTGAACATATGGGTTCAAGAAACTGGACAGTGTGTCAAGGTACTCGCTCAGTGGTACAGAGTTAACAAAAATAGGTATTCGTGTCCAAGACCAACTCTAGGACGTCCCACTTCCGTCTTTCAGGCAAAGTTCGTGTCCGTGGACCCGAACAACAGATAAACACTACAGAAGATAACCCTCAGAATATATTAAAAGATGGCCGGAGGGACAAAAAGGTCTTCACCGGATGATGAGGAAGGATAAGTTGACTTAGGTTTTATGTTTACAGTATAGGGAAGACGACCACATGTTTCCTTGAGCATACTGATCGATGCAACTTGATTGATAGTCAATAAAAAGATTAATTCCTCAGGAACGTCTTTAAATACTGCTATACTATTACATATTCCTATTTTTTATCATTAACATCCAAACTCTGAGAGGTGGATTCTTATACTAGAAATAAGTGTAGAACAGGGTAGGTTTTTCGCTACTTTACGGAAAAACTAAGCGATCAGAATTTAAAATTCATTATCGTGTACATCACAGTTCAGTGTGAGAAAAAAAGTTTCAATGAAGGGCTATCCTTAGGCACTGTACAACCTTGGGAAGCTTAATTCCATCGAATAAAAAGACAAGGAGGAAACACGAATTTTGAGGTTTGTCGGGATAGGTATTTTGTTCATAGTCACACCACTCTCGTTTGAACGGTGGTGTTCCTGTTCTGGCGGGCACACCGATCACACCGCTCAAGTGTGAACACGTTCACCGACGTGAAAACTCAGAGGCGTCCAACGTGCGTTGGTGGAGTAGTAGTTACACGCTCGCCTCGTATGTCAGATTTCCGGGGTTCAAATCCCGGCACGGCCATTGGATATGCGCTACTGTGAGCTCTAATAAGAACGAAACTTGAGTCCAGTACTTCTCCTTGATATGGACTCACCGGAACAATCACGTCAGAACAGGAGGACGACCGTTCAAACGAGATTGGTGTGACTATGAACATGATCACGAATTGATTGGCCGCGTGGGGGAATAAAAAAGCTTTCAACTCTTTGATGAGTGTCAGCTCACCTAAGATTCTTCCAAAATGCGAACGTGTTCGACACTTATCCACGAAGCGCGGTCTAATTGCCTAATGATTTTTGTTGCATGAAAAAACAGTAGAACCTCGGCAATATGTATGGCACAGTTTCCTTTCCAAATAAACTGTGTTGTCAGTCCACAAAAATTCTTAAAAGATTTATTCCAGGCAGTGTAGTCTTCATGAATATCAGTCCGTCACACATGGTACAGACTTTGTTGCCGATATCCACAATGTTCGTTTGCTGTATGGAACTATAATTTTGGGATTACCCTTTGTACACAAGTTCAAGCCATCTGCATTAGGTGACCATCAACTGAGCACGCTTATGCATCCCATTTTCCAGTGGCACTGTAGTTACACGAGATCACTTGAAGCTACTACCTACAGTGTGTTGCTATCATCCTTAATCCTATTTTTATTAGGTGGCTACATCCGCTGGTTAGAACCGTCCTAAATGGTCCACCGATATGAGCTGAAATGAGGGTATCTCCAAATGATGTAAATGTGTAAATGCGATCATCTGCTGAATAACTTCTCGCCTCGGGTAACCCCATGCTCTACGATGTATTTCAGATTCTGCTAGATTCACATACTGTACGAACTCTCTTGCGCACTGCAAAAAATAACTAATGGCTCCAACAAAAATGTTAAATGATTGCCTGTTTCCCAGCGGATAGCCGTCTTCTATCGGACTATGACAACGACAACACTTTACACCAATCGCAAATGGATTTATTGGAATTATCTGGGGAAAACGTGAACTTTCGAGCTATTACTGTAACCCATAAAGGATTTGGTGTAAAAAAGAATTAAGGGACAGGGCAAGAACCAAAAACGCTGTGGTGTCGTACATCACAAAGTTAGAAGCCAAGCTCATAGCTTAACCACAAATTTTGTTATTTAATCAGTCAGATAGCTGATCAATCCTTCGGTAATTCTATCTAGCTATCTACGTACTTATTTGTCTGTCCCTCCATCTTTCTATCTATCTATCTATCTATCTGTCTGTCTGTCGATTCATCTGTCTGTCTGTCTCTCTGTCGGTCCGTCCGCCTGTCTATCTGACTGTCTGTCTGTCTGTCTGTCTGTCTGTCTGTCTGTCTGTCTGTCTGTCTGTCTGTCTGTCTGTCTGTCTATCCTGCAGACAAGCTAGGTTACTGGCTGGCTGATAGATGCACGATCTCTCATTAAAAGAGTCTGTCATCGCCAACAAGGCGATGTGTTCCTTAGTTCACTTCTTTATATTTCGAGAAGTGTAACTGCATGCGGGAGACAATCCGCCTGAATTATTTGCGTATGTTTCAGTCAATTACCTGCTCCAAGTATTGTTCACCCATTCATATAAGGTCTCCCGTTTAGGCAGACAATGTCGCACTATGAGAAATTTGGTAATATAACTTTTGGTGAACACGATTGAGTGGCATTTCGTAGCCGTCTTTTCTAGCGAAAATCTCCCAAATTAAGTCCATTGACATCAGGGTATGGAGTGCTGATGATAGAGGGGAGCCAGCCTAAAGAACAGCTTGGAATATCGAGGCTTTTGAAAGTTCGCCATAACTTGAGACTCGTTTCAGTAACTGGCCCTCCTAATAATTGGGAGATGAACGGGTTGTTCGAGCTTCAAGAGGTGGGACAAGGTGGATTCAGATGTAAGATCCATGTAAGATATGGCCGACAGAATGCCAAACCACAGTCTTCCTGTCGGAAATATTAAGCTTTACGTCGTAAACACAGAGTAGCCAGCGGAAATACCGTGCAAATAAAACGCTCAAAACTTCGGAGACAGGTTGAAGATCAGTGGAGTGTCTTGACCAAAAATCACTGAGGCCTTCTATTAATCCGAATTTCCGCTCCCATTACCCGATTTTTGTAACGTTTATCGCCCGTATCCAGTCAGTATCAATTGCAGGACAGGACTCAAATACGTTATTTGTAACTTGTGGCGGTAATAGGTCGCTTAATTGGCATATTTACTGCTGAGTCAGTTCAGACTAGTTTGGAGTAGTTTCCCATTCAAAACAGTGAAACCATCCAAGTCGTTTCGTCAAGCTTAACCGCTTTATCATTGCGGATGTAGTGTAATATTACTCATCATCGATAATAGTAGTATCGCGTTAACTTATAAAGTAGACCGTTCTCAAGTCGAAACAGTCAAGAGAGGAGCGATATTTCAACTTAACAGGATGCAACATAATTTCATTCTAAAAAATTGTCGGACAACTACTATTGCCTTTGCTTTGTGATGTGGTGGCTATGGCAACCAGGTGAACATCTACCCGATAAAACAGTAGTGGTATATCAATTATGTATCTTGTTTCCAACAACTTGAGTATTGACCTGTCACACTGTTGGAAGAAAGTGTGGTCGACATTTCTCTTTAATACCTGAGGTAATGAGGAACGCCCATATGATTGTACGTGGATGAGCATAACGGGCTGGAAGGCTATTGTTGTCGGGCAAACGTAAGTGATTAATTCTGGACAAGGCTCGATCGATGCAAGCTTGTTCACTCAGGTACGTTGCAAGTGGCTTTATTGCAGAAGAAAGACAAATGATCACGTGAGTCAAAGCTTGTTCAAACGGAAAAACGGGCCGTGTAAAAAACGACCATATTATGAAACGGGCCTGTAGTCGACGACCGCGACTGACGAATACCAGTTAAAAATCATTCCTCCAGAGAGCGAATACGTCTTAACATATTATCACTCTGAGGAGATTAAGAAACAAGTCATATTGATACGTATTCCCACGCTTTTCTTAGGTTTAATGGAAAAACAGCGTAACTGATTACTGAAAACCAAGCGGAATTGATCGGTGTTACGAAGAACATTTTACCGCATTCAAAGAAAAATTTAACAAAGCTAACGGTAGAATCAAAAATTGCCAGTCAAGCATCGGGCAAGAGTTCCACACCTGTAGATTTAGCGCTGTCGGCTTTCGGGTCAGGGCGAGTTGATAACGAACTTCGACTCCAAGTACACCAATTTTACAGAACCGGTTTTCTAATGTTTAAAAGAATCTTGACAGGAAACAAGATGTTTGGCAGGTTGAGCTAATTTTGGACATCGTCTAAAACTTGAATACAACAGTCTTTCTGACCCAATCCTAGGCGTTTGATGGTGATTTTCAATCCATGTATTTTACATGGCTTGGTGCTCTGGGTTAGTGTTGTCTTATTTTGTTGACGAACTGCGAAGCAGCAGAAATTTACAACAAACAGATAAGATAGTCGTTCAGCTGTAACAACGGGCCTGTAGTCGACGACCGCGACTGACGAATACCAGTTAAAAATCATTCCTCCAGAGAGCGAATACGTCTTAACATATTATCACTCTGAGGAGATTAAGAAACAAGTCATATTGATACGTATTCCCACGCTTTTCTTAGGTTTAATGGAAAAACAGCGTAACTGATTACTGAAAACCAAGCGGAATTGATCGGTGTTACGAAGAACATTTTACCGCATTCAAAGAAAAATTTAACAAAGCTAACGGTAGAATCAAAAATTGCCAGTCAAGCATCGGGCAAGAGTTCCACACCTGTAGATTTAGCGCTGTCGGCTTTCGGGCCAGGACGAGCTGATCACCAACTTCGACTCCAAGTACACCAATTTTACGGAACAGGTTTCTGCTGCTTAAAAGAATCTTGGCAGGAAACAAGATGTTTGGCAGGTTGAGCTTCAGGGCGAGTTGATAACGAACTTCGACTCCAAGTACACCAATTTTACAGAACCGGTTTTCTAATGTTTAAAAGAATCTTGACAGGAAACAAGATGTTTGGCAGGTTGAGCTAATTTTGGACATCGTCTAAAACTTGAATACAACAGTCTTTCTGACCCAATCCTAGGCGTTTGATGGTGATTTTCAATCCATGTATTTTACATGGCTTGGTGCTCTGGGTTAGTGTTGTCTTATTTTGTTGACGAACTGCGAAGCAGCAGAAATTTACAACAAACAAACAGNCGTTCAGCTGTAACACTCTTTCGGTGTCTAGCTGCCGTGCTACACGAAGGAAGCACGAGGGCTGGGATACTGCCCGGTTGCCCAAGCCTAGACAGGGGAAGTCGACAGTCAGAAGCCGGGTTCGAACCACGGACTTTCTGGTCAGTGAATTCGCGCCCTAACCACCGAGCCAACTGGCTTCATTCACAACAACAAAACAAGATGTACGAGTAGCCTGTCTAAGCACGCTGTGCACACTATGTCTAATGGTAATAGCACTTTGCTGATTACTCCCCTTGTGGTCCAACGTTTCAGGTCTCTGCAGTCAATTTAGTTAGTCATTTTTGCCTTCAGACTTCAAAAGCCATAGCTCGGTGGGCTTAAATAGTTATAAAGAGATGAGCAAATTTTATGTTCATATCTGTGCAAAGTACTAGTTTGTAACATCTTACGATAGACTCTGGTTGCCGTTCTCGAGAAAATTGGTTTACTTGAACTGAGTATATTAGGAGATGCTCTCAACTGGCGGTACGTGTGGTGGACTTAATTTAGCAAAAAGCCTTGATCAAACAAAACGTTCGTTTTCGTCTGCTAAACAGAAATGTCATTAGTCTATACAATGAGATGAAAGTGTGTATTAGGCCTCAAATTGATGTTGTCCAGAATGGATCGTTCCGGTGCCGGTGCCGACCCCAAGATTCGGGCATTCAAGATTTCCATTAGGAGTGTTTTCCTTGTAGGTATTTCAAACAAGCGTTTAAAAATTGGCAACTGGTTTTATGAGCACGGATTTGAGTTGAATCCCCAAACAGAACGAGCATACGTCTCCTCAGGGAAGGAATGGACAACCTCACAGGTGTGTACCTCCTTGGTGCCTCCTCAAAGACTCAGCGGTTATACCGCAGTGGAATAGACGAGGTCTTCATGTGTAGCCGTTGTTGGTTCAACAGTTCTAAATATCTCTTCATACGTAAAGGGATATCTATGCTAGAATCCACACCGAATAAACGCGTTCAACTCACCAGGTTCCAATGTCTCCTTCGCGGATAATTAGTTCATTGGCACAGCGCCACTCTGATCCACATTCTTCAACCAGCTTCATTAAAACACCTGCAACAGGAAGATGTGATCAACTTGTACAAAATCAGTCCTTTCCAATGAACAGCACCTATCTACTCACCAGCTGTAATGTAAAACATGTCAGTTTATCACAGAGTTTTGACGAAGCATACATATTAAAATACGTGGGATTGATTCACGAGATACAGAAATCCGCAAGCTTATTCGATTTTAACCAGAGGCTCAGTTGAGTTCAGCTGAATTCCCCTGTTTATTATGTTTTGCTTAAACTGAATGTGCTGCTCAAGCATACTCCATTTTTCAGTCGATATCCGACATACCGTAGTAGATCTTCTAGAAAGAACAGACTACTCATAAACTCACTCCTTATTCTCCTCATGCAGCAAATGGAGGCAGTTCTTGCTTAATATTCGGGAACACGTCGTAGATCTCGCCCTGAAATTGAGAGTACAGCTTCCTCCAATGATGGATCCTGACCTGCCCCCATATTGCTCAACCGCTCAGTGTTCACTGTTGCTATAAAATGTGCATCCCGTCTGATATATCCCAAAGAGGGTGAGCTAGTCACCCATGACGAACTGTGAGATGGGAAGACGTTGTCAGATTATGTGCACTGTCACTTCATGTCGAGGTCAGTCTTAGAATACCAAAAAATTATACACCCACCAAAGAGCAACGTGACACAGTTCTACATTTGCCTCATGCCTCAGAGAACTCCGGTCTTCTTAGTCGGTTGCACGGTGTAGGCTAATGCACTTTTACCCTGCTGACGTAGTCGCTGCAAGAGGAGGTTGCCTATAATTTTCTCCGTTAACCGGTGGAGATTGCGCAGAAACAGAGAACTGCGATGGCCGGAAAATAACACGTAGGTGGTACTGATATATATACCAAGATACATAGTAACCCTCTGGCTAAGTAGACAGCACGCAGTGTGTTGAGAACTTGATCAGCTGTTGCTGACTAGTTTCCACTCTACTAAGGCGCGTTGTAGTCATACAAAGCTTATCAATAACGAGTCCAAGACAATAGTCTTGACAGTCAAGACTGGACGAAAACCAACACTGATAGCAGGACAGCTATACGAAATAAAATGTACACTTCAAAAGGATCGTTTCTCTGAAAAATATGAAATGAACATATTGGAGCCAACAAACGGCGTCATCCAGTGGTTTATTTTGGTAACTGAAGGAACGTACGGATGACATATTTCTTATGATCTTCCTCCGACTCTCTTGGTGCGGTGTGCTCAAAAAATTGAATTGGCATTTTTTATCAACGGATCAAGTATACTGATTGCTCGATACTTATACGATTGTTGACACCATTTGCCGTCCTCTGAAACTCTCTAGTTCCTCTCATGGATCACTGAGGGCTCGCCATATTTTCTAGATATTGAAGACAGATACGCACCCCTGTTAGAAGGATCGATAGATGCTGCTTACGGACTCGACAGCGAAATTTTTCAAGCTTTACACGACAGCATGTACGTATGCAGTGCGTCAGCACAATGAGAAAGGGAACAACAGAGTCCAGCTTATAAGGAGACGGACATGACATCCCTCAGCGGTAACCTTTGAGGTCACGTTGTTTGGTGCGACAAAGCTGTAGCAGGTGTTTAGTGAAGTTTCCACGATACCTGCCGCAAAGTTATCACAACCGCAAGCACTTTATTATGTTACAGATACACGCAGCAGCTTAGAATGTGACATCCGTAGAGTGGAGCCGAAGAAACATTTGGAACGTTTAAAGCACTCGTAGTTAGTGCTTTCTGAAATGGAGCCAAGGTACTGATAAAAAACAAAATGGTCATTAAGAGTAGCATAGCTTCAAGTCCTTGTGTTGTTGCATTGATATTACTTTGCTCTATAAGTGACAAGTGAACACTGGGATCCCTCATCAAAATGTGCCAATGGATCTCATGAAGTCACTAAGCCATCGGTCAGCTGATGGTTACTAACCCTCACTTATTGACCGGTTATCGCAAACAGAAATTGCTAAAAACCGTCCGCTACGCAAAGAGTTGTGCTATTCAAACTCTATCCATACAAATTCTACACGCTCCTGTCACCCTATCGTTGGGGACTTTACCAGTCGACAGGTACGTTTGAAAATCACACGGAGCCTTGGTAGATGGCTAAATCCAATGCACTCGGGTACGTATTCTGCATGTATGCGTAGGGGCATATTCCATGAAGTGTCACTGGCTGACATAAAAACAGCTAAGTAGAGGGAAATCTCTCGAAAAAATAATGAAAATTGCTGCAGTATAAGCAATACGGGATTTTTTCACTCTCTTCAGTGGACAATAAGATTTGTAATCATTTGTTTGTTGTTCATTACAACTCTAGGGATAATCCAAGCAATCTTATCTTAGTAGCTTCTTTTATGAGTCATTTAGAGGAATGAGGTGAAGAACAACTCTAGAAATCAGGCGGTGGTCTTCGCCCAACCAAAAGTTATCCAGCGAACGTAGACCCGCCATGGATCCACCCGAACCTTAAGCTTTGACTGGTGGGTTAGTTAGTCGTTGGATTAGGATGGCCGCTTGAGAGTCATCCGGCAGACCAGTGACATAAATGAAGCATGAGTACTCTTGCGTTTAAATATTATAATCCAGATGCGATAGTGGAACGGTGATACAATGTCCGTCTCACATATGTCGTACGTCCGAAGTCCCACTACCAAGATGGCCAGGTTGATGCAGTGCGGATTATTACCTTTGGCAAGGGCGATGCCCGAGTTCAGTCTCTCACATTTCTGTGTGGACTGGCACAACAGGAAGCTCACCTTACTCGAAGTGTTGTGAACACAAAATTCACAAATCTCACAAACACCTGCAAATACATGTTTACACGTTTGACAGCATATAGTGATTATTCATGAACCCTGGCAGGTTTGACAAACAGTCTGCGGGTTTGCTGTTTGGAAACTTAGCATTTATTACATGAAAGTTGCTCTAACTGGAGGGAATAAGTTACCGGACTGAGCGACGTTAAGGCGGACCGTGAGCCAAACACCTGTTGCTCAACTAGAAGACCTACTTGGCGGTGAATACTAGTCACTCGGATTGAATATACGCTTGTGCCAAAACGAAACCTCGTCCTACAGCAAAACCAATGTTTACTGAATAAACATATCTAAAAGGAGCATCCTAACATTTTGTTCTCAAATATCAGACTACGTTCGCCACCAAACCCTATGACCAGTACTGACTATGGGGATAACAAGTCTTCTGCGGGAATAAGCCTTCAGTTGTTCTGTGCACTGTTTGTTTGATGGAAGGACAAAAAATCAACAGTTTTAACTGAGTAGTATCCAAGGGAGGTGTTTATTGGATATCGGATGCTGGATATTCTACGAGTGTGTTACAATGGCTGGGGAAGGAATTTATCTTACATTGAGAAAAACAGTGTGCCGACTTCATACACAGCTGGCACATCCAACTTATGAGCGCTCCTTCCCCATTTTCACATTCATCGTAGTTCTAAGCAAGCTACTCACAGTTTACCGCCTGAATAAAACTATAGGTTCATATTCTGACCACTGCTGGTATGACACTTAAGCAAACGTTTTGAACCTAGGCTCAACTTTCCATGGGCTATCGACGAATTTTCAGCAACCTTATGAATAGTCCATCACAAGTATACATGTATCGCGATATCTTGACTATCGTGCCAATTGAAACATGCGGCGGCCTGGTTTAGTAAATTCAGTCGCCTGGAAATATCACAAACGAGAGATTCAGCCGGGTTCTAGATGAGTCTCTCGAAAAACCAAATTAGTTTGCAAATGAGTGTATATTCGCTCATCCCTCATTTTATTTATTATATGACTGCGCATTGGAGATTATGTACTTTGTCTAATCAGACAAAATCGGTGGTTATGTCGTTTGAGAATAGCCGGGAATCTGTCTGACGGAGGGGAGATGAGATAAGAATTTCATTAAATGAATTCTTGACGCTGATCGAATTTGACTTGTAGCCATTCAAGAGACCTCAATTAAGTGGCGTCCGCGTCAAACAAAGCAAAGCTTCGTGGTCTCTTTCAACCGACACTTGTAGCCTACGGATCGTATGAATATGAACCCCGCCTTGAGCCCACCCGTTACGAAGGTCAGGATAAGCTTGCGGTTATGATCACATTCGGAGCAAAAACTCATCCAGTACCCTCTTTTGAACAGGTCTCTGTTGAGCAATGAACATCCTTAGAACTGAAGTCAAGATTTGGCTTGGTAGATACACTCAACCAAGTCGCATCTTGACAACCTGCCACATTCGCGTACAAATTCTCCATAGCAAAGAAGCAACAAACTCACTTTTATCGCAAGAGAACAATCTCACTCAACCTAGCTTTCCGGTCAGCTCTCATACTGCAATCTAAACCGGCATACAGTTAGTATCATTCAGGAAGACTAAAAACAAGTAAGCCGATAGGAAAATGCCCATGTAAAGATGATGATTCCCGCTGCGTTTCACTAGGTTTTTCCAAATAAGCATGGCTTGTGATTAGTATTTTTCTCACCGGCTCTACCGGGAGCTTTGTATGCCGGGAGGTTGCTTACTAAAGAGGGAAAATTGTACTCACCCACAGGCACACATTCAAAAGCTTTGACCTTTCTTTGTAACCAACTTGCCACTTCTTTTGTTTCCGTCTCCATCCGCTGAGCTGGTGGCCTTGACAAAATCTCAGCAACTCGATCAAGTGCGGATGCGTAGATGGACATGGTGAACTCTGCTCATTTTGGTGAAAAGCAGTTGCTGGTATTTAATGAACGTACCCACCAATCAAATTATAGCTCAGTACAACTTGTACGCTGATTAGGTTGCGGCGTGCGCATGTACTGACTTTGCCAGAGGAACGGGTGAACGGACAGTGTGATGAACCAATTGTTAGACAGGCGGCAAACCGGAAGTGATGTTATTCCATTCTAAAGAAGCTACTGAAGGGAATGAATATTAGTAGAATTTTTGGGGGAAAAGCCTCCTCGAGGAATGATCAATCTCCAGTTTTCCTCTTATTACAGCTCAGCAGCAGTGCATGCGAGGTGGGACTGTTACCACCAATCCACCGGCGCATGCTGGACCACAAACACCTGAAATGATCCATTCATCAATAGCATGCCAAACTCTAATCCTTCGGACGGTAGTATTCTGCTCACGTTCATATTCAGCGACTGAAAGGAATCTTTAAAAATGCTTTCATATCTTGAGTACCACTCCTAGTGAGACAGGAGATGCCGCCTGCGTGGCACATTTAGTTAGAGGTCGTTATGAAAGGACACTTCAACCTATATA